TGTTTCAAGGAACCAGATCGCATAGCCAGCTGCAACATGACCCTCCTCTCATTGCTGCCCAAGGTTGACTCACCCGCTTTCATGAGTCAGTTTCGTCCTATAGGGCTCTGCAATGTGAGCTACAAGGTGCTAGCTAAATGCCTGGCAGATCGACTGAGAAATATCCTTCCCAGGCTGATTGATGAGAACCAAACCAGCTTTGTTCCCAATAGGCACATCACGGACAACATTATTATCCTGCAGGAAGTGGTCCACTCTTTTAGCCAGCTTAAGGGTCGTCGTGGAAACATGGTCTTGAAAATTGATCTAGCCAAGGCATATGACAGAATCAACTGGGAGTTCCTGCGTTCCACTCTGGTTTCGGCATGCCTCCCTACTGACTTCATCAATCTGATCATGGCTTGTGTTACAACATCCAGTCTCCAGGTTCTCTGGAATGGTAGTTGTACAGACTCATTCAAACCATCCCGAGGATTAAGACAGGGATGTCCCCTCTCTCCCTATCTGTTTACTCTTTGTATTGAACGTTTGAATCATTGCATTAAAGAGTCTGTTGGCAATGGGGACTGGACTCCTCTGCATTTAACTAAGAATGGTCCTGCACTGACGCATCTCTTTTTTGCAGATGATCTTGTTCTTTTCGCTGAAGCTGATACAAAGCAGGGGAGGGCTGTTTTCGACTGCCTTGACAGGTTCTGCGCAGCCTCTGGGGAGGAAGTGAGCAAGGATAAATCGTGTATCTACTTCTCGAGGAACACCAGGGAGCAGAGTAAGAGAAGAATCAGCAGATTATTGGGCATGAAGCAGACTGATAACCTGGGCAGATATCTTGGTGTTCCGGTGCTCCATGGCCGCGTAACGAAGGACACTTATAAGTATGTTCTAGAGAAGATAGATAAGCGGCTGGCGGGATGGAAGACTCGGTGCCTCTCTTTAGCAGGTCGTGTCACCCTGGCTCTCTCGGTGCTGAACACCCTCCCGAATTACGTGATGCAAACGGCTGTCCTCCCATGCCACATCTGCGAGGCAATCGATAGAAAGATCAGACGTTTTTTCTGGGGAGCTGAAGAAGGGCTGACCAAAGCGCATCTAGTCTCGTGGGATAATGTGTGTAAGCAGAAGGAAGAAGGGGGCCTGGGTCTTCGCTCGGCACGGGCACTTAATCTAGCCTACTTGATGAAGTTAGGTTGGACCTTCCTGAATGATGAAAAGCCTCTTTGGGTCCGAGTTTTGCATGACAAGTATGTCAAGGCGAGTGACGATGGCAGAGTTTCGATGTGTCATCAGCGGGTCTCTAGGCTTTGGAAAGGAATCTTGGAAGCTCTCCCTCTTGTGAAACAAGGGACCGTGTGGGATATCAGGAACGGGGAGAGTGTCAACTTCTGGCATGATGCTTGGGTCGCCGAGGGAGTCTACCTCAAGGACTATGCAGACAACCAAGCTGATGCTGTAGACTGGAACGCCTCTGTTGCAGATATGGCCATTAGCCCAGGTGAGTGGAATTGGTCGCGTTTTAAAGATTACCTCCCTGACTTTATTAATCTCCTTATTGCAGGGCTTGATGCGCCAAATGAAGAATCGGGGGAGGATCAGACGTCGTGGGGGATGGAGCAGGACGGGAAGTTTCGGCTGGGATCTGCTTATACCGTTGCGGCAGATTGGCTCAACAAAGGGGATGGGGGTGCGACTTCAACGACTGCAGCACCTACCTGGAAGGCAATTTGGAGATGGGATGGCCCAAACAGAATTCGGCATTTCCTCTAGCTAGCTTTCCATAACCGATTGATGACGAATTGCGAGAGGAAAAGGCGAAAGATCAGCGCCCAAGACACCTGCGAGATGTGCAAAATGGCCCCTGAATCCACGGAACACATCCTGCGCCACTGTGCATCGGCTACTCAGGTATGGCAAGCACTTGGAATATCAGAGTCTACTCTAACTATTGGTCTCAACCTGACAGATTGGATGGCAAGGAACCTCAAGGACTCGAAGATCGGGCTGCTGTTTGGAGTTGCAGCGTGGTACCTTTGGAAAAGAAGGAACGATTGGATCTTCAACAACAAGCATCAGGATACCGACACTCTCGTTCAAAGAATACGAAGCTGGACCAACACTATTAGAGATGCTCAAAGCAATGAAAAGGCTATTCACACTCCGCAGCAAAGAAAGACTACGAGGGAGATTGCTTGGACCCCACCCGACCCCAGCTGGGTTGTCGTCAATTCAGACGGTTCCGTGATAAACCCGGATTCGCGGGCAGCAGCGGGGGGCCTGGTGCGTGATTGCTCTGGCAAATGTCTCGGTGCGTTTTCTTCGAATCTAGGTGCTTGTACAATTACCAGGGCAGAGCTGTTAGGTGCGATTCAGGGGCTTCGCCTGGCATGGAACTTGGGTTGCCGCAGAGTGGAGCTGAGAACCGATTCGATGGTCACCCTCGGTATTATGAACTCGCATGGGCACTATGAAGGCTGTTATCACAATCTCTGGAGGCAATTCCAGAGCCTCTTTCATCAAGAATGGGAGATTCGTATCTCTCATACGTTCAGAGAAGGAAACAAAGCTGCGGATTTTTTGGCCAACAAAGGCCATTCTCTCAGTTTAGGATGTCATGTTGTTGAGCTGAATGATTCAGGGCTTAATTTTTGGCTCTTGTATGACTCTTTGGGCATTGCCCAATCTCGTTTAGTCTAATGTTTCAGGCAGGGGCGCCCTTTTAGCGTCCCATTTTTCTACCAAAAAAAATACTTAATGAGTAGTAAATACTAAATAGTAATAGGAGCAGGCAGAGAAGAGAAGAGAAGATAAGACAGAGACAGGACTGGCCTTTGCAAATGGGCATGGTCTCAATCAATTATCCCTTCCTTCCATTCCCACTCTCCTCCAAATTCCTCAATAATAATAATAATGAGAGAATTATGAAAACAAACAGGATTGAAAACGAGAATTCCAGAGAGAGAGAGAGAAGTGAAAGGACAAAGCTGGCATTGAATGCTGTTGCTGACACCATCTCTATCTCTCTAGGCTACTACTGCTGCTCCGTGGTGTCAGCGAGGCGTCAATCATAAAGCAATGGATTGCAAAATCATTTCCCTCCTCTGCCTCGATCCTCTCTCTCTCCCTCTGTTTTTCATTTTACAATAATAATAAGAAAATGAAATGGGGTTTCTTCTTGTTATTAATTAATTAATTAATTGTCATTTGTATCTTAACTCTTCTCTTCTGACACTGACTTTTCGTCTTTGACCGTATCCCTCTCCCCGCCACTGCATTGACATGTCAACCTCTTCCTTGCCACGTGTGCCCAGATTTTCCCATATATTCCTACTAATATCCATTATTATAATACTAATGTATGTAGACAAAAATTATATATATATATATATTGGGTAATCTTTTTTCCCCACTGGGAAGCCATGCATTTGCGATACATGCTGTTTGTTTGTTGGTCCAACCTATTTATTATTGCTTTTGGGTTTTTCCCTCCCCCCTCTATCTATATATATATATATATATGAATGAGGATAATACATATATATTATAGTAAAGTTCTGTTAAGATAAATAAAACAGGAAATGAATTTAAGTGGGGACTGGGGAGTTGTCCAAATGAAAGGAGGATCCTTCCTTCTGTATATGTGTTTGGATCCCGCGGGAATCCCGCCTTAGTCCATGCGTTTGTTCTTTTACCACATATATATATATATATCCTCTCTATCTATGTCCGTGAAATTCTTTTCGCAATGGAAATATCTTGTGACGAGAGAATGACCAGCTAATAGTTTTTATTTTTTTTTATGACCAAGTGGCCTTTCAAATCAAACACCGCATATATCAGGGTTTGTTCCTAGTTTCTTTTACTTCAATTCCAGCAACTTTTCTCATGTTCAAGAAAAAAAATATGCGTTCGAATTTTTTTAAGATAAAGAATATAATTTTATTGAGAATTTTAGTTAATAAGATGGTAAATAATGTGATTGATAATAAATTAGTGTCGATCTCCAGAGTTTCAGAAACAAACAAACCACTGGTATGGGTGTAACTTGTAAGTATAATAATAATATGTTCGTTTTACAAAATAGAAAATTTATAATTCTAAGATAAATTCTAGATTCTAAAAAAAATATACGAGTTTCGGAGGAGTGAGTATTTGTTAAATTTTTTTTGAACTTCTTATTCATTCTAAGGCGGCGGAGGAGCCGTTGCGCCATCTCATGAGAGCCTCGTGCTTTAGTTTCAAAAGTTTCTTGCGACGAGAGTGGATAGTAAAACTCCTTCAAGTGGTTAGAGAGAGAGTAATTTTCTAGCTACCTAGTTGGCTCGTAGGTGTTTCCATCTTCCTTTTGATAGTATAACATCAAGTATGAATGATTTTTTGAGGATTTCTTTGTCCCGTCGTATTAATATAATGAGGCGGTGGTGATTTGCACCCATTTTCGATAATAATAAAAAAATGGAAACAAACATATCCTTCATCTAAGTGTATTAATCATTGGTGAATCTAGTATCATATATAAGTCAGCTGACTATTCAAGTTGGTAAATTGGCAGCATCCTTGGAATCAAAATCCTGCTAGCTAGCTCGTTAGGCACATGATAAACATGTTTTGTGTTTTATTACCATTTGATCTCTAAATCCTTGTGTTGTTTGCCTCTCACCTATATGTTCATGGTAACGTCACAGAACAATATAGAGGAGGGAAAATGAAAAAAAAAAAAGAAGGAAAAAATAGAGGGCATTTCACAAACAAGGTAAGCGGACATATGAGAGGCCATTTTATGCCTCATCCCACAAGCTTTCTTTCCTATAGATAGTGTACGTACTTTAGGCTCTAGCTAGCTAGCTACACGACTGCATTTACATGTCAAAATTTTGACAAGAGAGTAAAAATGATTCACTTGAAATAGTATCAAATCTGAGCTACATGACATAATTCAATAACAAGCGGTCTAAGCCGCCTAGAGTGTCGTACTTGATCTTTGGTCTACCTAGTTTGGCTAAACAATTATCAAGAACATTGTATTTCGCTAACAACATAATCCACTGCTTCGTTCTAACTTCATCAATCAATGTACAGTTGTAATGGTGAAGATGATTGCGAGCTTTCACCTATGTTTATAAGACTTATGTCAGTTGATGAATTCACTAAGAAACTACGTTTTATTTTTTTCTAAAACCCATTTTTCAAGCACGTTAAGTACTCTTGTAGGCCGCTCATAAATTAAGTTATGATAACGCTCTCGAAAATCTTAATGCCTTTTATCGCCCCTGAAGAGCCTGCTGAACAATAGTTGTGAAAGTTTGATGATGGACCAAACCCTTTTGTACTAATTCAATTCCAAGCCTTCTCCTAGGGCATGCAATCCAACAAACCATCCTTCTTTATTTGTTTATGATGATATATATGCTGCAAGTCTACTTGTTGCCCAGTTTTGGTGGGGTTTTAATGTTCTTGGAGATGGAAATAGGAATGGGGGAGGGATAATTTTGGACAACTTTTAAGGGCTGCAGGGATGGGACTGTTTCAATAAGGTTTTTGCAGTGGGCATTTAATTTGATTTATGGTTAGCCTGAAATGGGTGGGGATTGTGATCAATTCCTAGAAAGCTGCATTCCATTCTATCCATGAATATTAAAACCCACCAATTCTTGAGCTAGGGGAATACAAAAGCAAAGAACCCGATATACAAAGAGATAGGAGGAGAGGGGGGCCAAATTGCTCTGTCTATTACCCACAACTTCCATTGAATGCATACACTACTGCTCTCTTTTACATTTCCATACTGTAGAAATTGAAAATGACAATCCTAGATATATTTTTCCTATAAGAAATGTCTAGTATGCATACACTATATAGCCTATAATAAAAATAAGGGTAAATACGATATATTAGCCACAACTATTATGAAGCGGGTAATTATAGCCACAACTATGAAAATTCAAATTATTAGCCATAACTATTATTGCGGGTCAAGATATAGCTAACTATCAGTTACTGTTATTGAATTTTAAGTGGAGAAGGGCACGTCATCAACCACGACAGCAACCACGTCGGACTGCTTTTAATTTATAACTTTAAAACATAAAATTTAGTTAGTATACTAACGAAATTGTTAACAGATAGTTAACGTTTGGCTAATAATTTGAATTTTCATAGTTGTGGCTATAATTCCCTCCTTCATAATAGTTGTGGCTAATATATTGTATTTACCCTAAAAATAACTATAATAATCAGATTACCAATATAAAAAAAATTGTTTTATCATATTTAACTACTCAAATTATTGAAATAAATTCGTCTCTTCCTAACACTGTCTCAAAACTTTAATGGTAAAATGGGTACATGAAATGATTACCATTAACAAAAGATCGGGGCCATGATTTTTATTTATTTATTTTTGAGTGATATCAATGGAGGAAAATAGTTAAACTTACAATTCTACTTAGGACCCCTAAAAGACTCTAAAGAAGCCACCCAAAAAAAAATCAAAAGATTCTAGCTCTAAACGAGACAAAAGCAGTGCTTTACATGCTACTCCATGGACAACACTATTGGCGGATCTAGGCGCCAGGATGATTTGATTCATTTACAAGCAACAGCAAATTGTATTTTGACTTGGCAGAAGAGAACAAGTTGGTGTAAGAGATGGAGTAAGCAAATTGTATTTTTCCTTTTCTCTCTGTCTGGCCGTGTGTGTCTTTCTTTCCCAGACATTGCATAGAAAGTACAGAGTGTGAGAGAAGGATGGAATTGAGAAGGAAGAAACAGCTAATAGCTAACAGCTTGCTTGCCTGCTTACTTTTTTTATTTTATTTTTATGAAGGTTTGCTTGCTTTCACAGCGTAAACAGGGACGACAGCACAGAGGGAGAACGGAAAGTCGTCACTGTTGTAGTATTGTATTTTATTATATATAGCAGGCCATGCAATAATTAGAAGTGATCAAAGTAAAAGATTTAAGCGATAATTTAAGGGTTAAGTTTGAGCTATGTGATTGGAACATGGAAATTTTGAGGAATGAATAACTGGAGCTTGGAAATGGAAAATTGATTAGAAAATTGTAGAGCATGGAGGTACTTTGATGGTCGATTTAGAGATCAAACAAGCTGGAAGGAATGTTGAAAGCATAGAAAAAAGGAGAGCGAATGTTTAGTTTACATGATTCAGAGGGGATCGTATTGAACTATATTTTAATTTAAAAAGTTGAGTTATCAAGTTATCGTAAGGATACGAATGAAATTTATAGCATCATGTTCAGTGGCAGAGCCACATGGACATCACCTCAACATTGATTTTTTTTTTTGAAAAATATAGTTTTGCTTTTGATACATGTGAGTATGAGAAGCACGAGTAATATTAAGTTATGCTATGCGAGTATTGTTACGTGATTGTGATTGGATAGAGTTATATTCCTTATCAAAGTTGTAGAAATTATATATTTTTCTATTAGTGTTAATGATTTCTCATTTTCGTACATATTTTTGCTAAAATCGGCATGAACTGGTACTAGGGGTGTACATAGGTCTGGTGGTCCGGGTTTAGACATTTTAATCACCCGACCCATGCACTACAGTTTGAGAAATATTCAACCCAAACCCACCCAAAAAAATCTAAACCCTATGGTTTGTTTCTAATTGTGTTGGGTCGGGTTGGCGATATTTTTAAGTAAAAACCCAACCCAACACAAAATATATAATTATTCTACACCATAAAAATATTTTATAACTATTTAAAAATTCAAACGAATAAACCGAGGTGAAAGGTATCAAAATTCACAAATTTTGTTTGAATTTTAATAAAATTTGATTTACTTCAACTTATGTCTAGTTTTTTTCACGACATTTGTTGAAATAGGCTAAAATGGTTACAAATGAACGCATCCATAATATGTTATTCTATTAATATTGTACACAAGAAGAAAAATAATTACGTAAATCATAGCTATATTAAATTTATGTCTAAACTTTAAGTCGAAGAATGCATTAGATTAGAGAGACTTTAAGAGAAAAATATGGCGAAATATCTTAATTTTCTCATAAGTATGGGCTATATACGACATAAATATTTTTTGGATACGAACTCATACCAAAAATTGGAACACAAGTTGGGTCGGGTTCTACGGGTTGTGTAATCCAAAATCCAAACCCAATCCAAAAGAGGCGGGTTGTACAAAAGAAAATCCTCACCCAACCCAAAACCTTTGTTTTAGCGATAAATACGGGTGGGTTGGGTCGGGTTGGACGGATGGGTCGATTTACGGGTGTGTTTGTTCACCCCTAACTGGTGTACTAACCCTGGTCGAAACATACGACTTACCAAGCCGATATAAAATGGTTGGACAACCTTACTCTAACTCCTTGTAACGAGTGTTTGATTTTGATCACTATTCACTCACTAATGCATTCATGGTTTACTAATAATATGCTATGTTTAAAATTAGCATGGTTGGTAGTGGTAGTAATTAATCCACAGCTACCAAGCAGCAGACAGAGTAGTAGTGCCCCGAAAACACTAATTTTGATGCTAGGTATAGCTAGCTGATTAATCTATGCGGCATCATCAATAATAATAATTAAAATTTGCTGCATCCATTCACTTTCACATCGTTGAGATCGAGTAGAGCACTGCAGCGGTGGTGGGGGCCTTGGCCTTGCAGCAGAAGGTTGGGTTGGGTTGGGTAATAAGTAGATCGATGGTGCAGAAAAGTGACACGTGGAAATTAAGGGAAGAAAAAGAAACGTAGACCCAGAAACCAGAATGAATGAATGAATGAATGAGGGAATAGTACTGCTGCTGTTGCTGCTGCATGGGAATTGAAGAGGGCAGGCATAGTGCTGCCTGCCTGGCCTGGGAACGAACGAATGAATGTGAGTGAATGAATGATAGTGTAATGATGCCATAATAATTGTTTTGACATTCCAACCACAGAGTGAGAGAGAGAAGGGAAAGGTGAGAAAGTGAAAAAAAAGAAAGAAAGAAGATGCAGCAGCAGTAGCAGTAGCTAAAGTAAAAGCTGCATGCACAAGGAGAGAGGTAAAAAAGGCTACAAAGGCTATAAGGCGGAACTTAGAAGGAAGCAAGAGTATGCAATGCAAGGGATTGCAGAAGTGCAGCTGCAGAAGAGCAGATTGTCTTCTTTTTCTTTTCTTTTCTTTTGAGTTTGACACAAGCTAAGGGAGTAAGTAGCAGTGAGAGCGCGCAGTGTGTGGGGATGAAAATGAAACGAAAGGAAATATATTTTCACATGCAGCGAGCGGCTGTGACGCTGATTAATTGCACAGAGAGAAAGAAAGAGGGCAGCCTTCCTTCCTTCTTTCTTTCCCTCGTTCCACCGCACGATTCATGCTGTGAAACCACACAGTACGGCCTACCATCCACGCCATCACTCAACTAAATTATGGAATACCACATCTGAGAATTCAAGGAGAGGACACCCAAGATTAAATCATTACGGGGTTGGTTCAAAAACGATCAATATCGTACGTACTAATGGAGTTACCCAATTTCACCATCATACATTAACCACCGCCGGGCTAGCCTCTCCTAATTGTGGTAGCTTAAAAGAATTTATTTATTTATTTATACGGTCTATTGTAATTGGGGTATGATGATATTATTTCTATACCCTAATCTTTGCTAAGCGGCCAAATTCTTTCCCTCTCTTCCTTATCTCTCATGTTATTCCACAAGTTCTTTCTAATTATATCTCTGCCAAACCCTACTTCTCGCATAATCTCTCATTTTCAATTATCTTTCTATCCCAAATCACTCGTGTTTTTAGATATTAGGTTCTATCCCAATAAGAAAGTATCAAAATATTGATTGACTATCACCTTGCTCTTTTGTCAAATGTGTGTCATGAATTTGGACCTTGCAGTACTGACCCTTGTGGTCTCTCTTGGTTTCTGTAAAGTGATTCTCTTTTGGGTTTTATTGGGTTGGAAAAAGCTGCTTCTTTTTTTCTTTCTTTGCTAGCCTGGTGCGGGTCTTTCTTTGCTTCCCATATCCACACAGCAGCAGACTGACTTTGCGTCCATTGTGTGCTTTACCCTAGCTTCTTTCTGCTACCTAGCCTTTCTTTGCTCTCTCTCTCTCTCTCTCTCTCGTTGCTTTTCTTTCTTTCTTTCTTCTTGCATTGTTGCCCCGATATCTGTGTCATCACCTTCGTCATTAATATTTCAACTCCCACGGTCACTATATATCTTATCCTCCAAAGCTTTGATATAATATTCCACAATCACATCTATACTAGGATGGTACGTAGACCTATACTATACGACGACTCGGCATTACAGACTTGTTCTGAACAAACCTAGCTAGATTTGCAGTACTAGTTTGCTACCACATCAAAGACACCAAAAAAAAAAAGGTTGACTAACAAAAGGAAAAACTTGTCACTAGAGAATTTTCAAAGCCCTAATTAAAGTAGTAGGTCTCGGGGCCAGCAATCTGTATATAGGTAAGTACATTATTAACGTGTTTATTGTTGAATAGTGTGTATATATGAGGTGAGGTGAAGTGACGTGGAAACCAATTTGCCGCAGAAAGAAATTAACTCTGGTCCAAAGTTTCAATCCTTAGGGAGCTGGCAGTGGCTGTCCAGCTTCTTGTCTGTCGCCCAATCTCTCTTGGCATCTTGACAACGTTACGTCCTAATTATATCCGGCCAGCCACCATAACCACATTTATGGGGTTGTTCCACTTTCTCTCTTCTAGTTATCCCTCAAACTCGAATAATAAAATATCTAATACTTCAAATATAACTAATTGTGTTTTGAATATTCGACGAGTGTACGTAAAGTAACGTAACCTAATGCATTAGCGTATTATCACAAGGTGATTCGATTTCTACAAAATTATACTAAGTATATCCGATAGGGGTGGCAGTTCGGTTACCGGTTAACCGGCCTGTTAAACCGATAACCGGCCGCTTATCCACTAACCAGTAACCAAACTTCGGTCGGTTATCGGAGGCTGGACGCAATGGTTTTTGGTCTTAAAAGTGGTTCGGTTAACCGGTAACCGAGAAACCGAAGTCTATTTCGGGCGGTTTTCGGTAGAGGGAGTGGTTATTTCGTTTAACCGATAACCGGCCGATCGGTTACCGGTTATAACCAAAATAACCGAACTGTCACCCCTAGATACAACCAACTGACGTATAGCCAAGATGAAGAAGTAGTAGATATACATGTGTATCTACTTAGTGTGTGAGACAAACCTCAGCGGAAAAAATACAAATGGCCACCGGCCACTAAACTAGATACATAATTCCTTATGTAAGTTTAGGTATAGAGTAGTGGAGACAATTAAGTTGATTCCATGACGTCTTAAATTGACCACCTACATCAATAATTGCATAACTGCCCCCATATTGAAAACTCCCCTCCCTCCCTGCCTCCATCTCCATGCACACACACATCTTTTCAAAGCAAATAATGTTTGGAGTTTGGACAACGTAACTCACTCTCCTTATGTTATGTGGTCGATCTTTCTGTAGGTAGGGGATTTTATGGGCACTGTCTCTTTAACAAAGGAAAACAGAATATTGTGCGACGGATGGGAATTGGGAATTCAGTGATGAGAGAGAGAGAGAGAGAGAGAGAGAGAGAGAGAGAGAGAGGGAGATTGAGAGAGAATATATAGACATAAAGTGGTGAGGGAGTGATCAGAAGGTTTGAATATGATGCTTGGAAGGTACAGTAAGAATGGGGTCAAGCAACCACATTCAAACTGACTGCTAGCCTGCTACAATCAAAATTTAATAAAATTATGACAAAACCCATGAGGGAGGATATGAGGAAGAAAAGTCAGAGGAACAAGTACAATTATACTTCTTTAATATATTGGGACTGTTTAATTTGCATTATACACCTTTTCCCCTATACTACTACTACTACTACTACATATTTGAGGCTGTCTAAGCTATACATATGACTTCCTTGCATACATATATATGCAATAGTTGCATTCTGGGGAATGAATATTTCAAGTGGATGGGTAATTGTGTGGACCAATGATCAGGATTGTTATTCCCTAAATTCACAACCCTACCTATTTTTGTACAATATAGTTAAGGTGTTCCGCATGGCGCATACTGTTAGGAGGACCGTCCTGCGAATGTTATCCAACGACTGAGATGAAAGGTCCACTTTAGTATAGGTCCTGATCTCTTTAAAGTTTAAGTTAGTGGATTGAGTGTCCATTATATTGACAAGTCTATAAGATCTCTATTCAAGTGGGGCCATTGTGTTTAACAAAGTTGCAAAAATGACGAATTGAACCTATAGAATATATATTCTAATTGAACAAAAAAAATGTTTCATATATGTGGTGGTATGTGTATTCGTCATTTCCTCAACTTATATTCTGAATGAGTAAAACACATATTAAATACATGTACATACATCTATAGAATAAATGTTCAAATTGAACAAAAAAAAAATATTTCATATATATTCGTTAGTTCCACAACTTGTATTCAGAATGAGCAAAACATATTGTATACATAAGCCCCAACTTTCACTATTTTCTGTCAGTTACTTTTAAATCGGAAAACCTTAGCAAATTTGATTTTTTTGTATATATTCTAGGTATTTTATGTCAAATCAAATAAGATTTGATTCATATGAGGAAGGTGCGTGCAATAGGGAGGAGGAGGGTTTGAGATTTGGACTCATGTGTTGTTGTTTGCTACCATTGCTAGATATATACAGACAAGGGTTGTGTATTAATTTGATGGTTTCTACATTCTAGCTAAGATTAGTGTTAGTGATTGATTATAAGGAAGGACAGGGCCTATCACCAATATTTTGCATCAATATCAATAACTGAGCTTTGATTTTTAACCAATTTATATGTACTTATTGGACTTTGAATAGCTAGCATAATAATTATTTTGCTATACTTTTCACTCAAATAAATAAATAATGATAAATTCCAACTCTAAATTCTAATAAGTTGTTACGGGCTTATGGTAGATAAGTTGAGTTTCATACCAGATCCAAAGTAAACTAATTACTGGCGGAGGAGAGCTCCGTGATTTTTGTTAAAATATGTGTTAGGATTTCGACCTTTTTTTCCATGACGGTTATATAATTTCAACTTTTTAAACTAGGGCGATAGTAATAAAATTATATCAATATTTAGAAGTTCAGTATAAATATAGATGAGATGACATATTGATCTAGACAATGTGGGAAAATGACATTTTGGTGATGGATGAAATAACCATTTGATTTGTTTGCTATTCAATATTGTAGTGACAAGTTCATGGAAAACAACAGTCTAGTTAATGGTTAACCATTTATGATTGTATATAGATTAGTTGCATTTGAAATATGCATTTAAGTAGTTGATATCATTTTTAAGTTGGGTTCTTTGTACGAATAGCCTAGATTTAGTTTAAGGCGGGAACTGGTAAACTTGTGACATTTGACACTTAAAAGCATTTGGACAAGTCCACAATAATTTAGCAATCCCAAGTTTCCAACCCAAATTGTCCATAGAAAAAGTGGGAGGAGGAAAAAGACTGAGTTGTCGCTAGGGCTGAAAATTGTCCCGATCTGCCCTTGACTTGTTCTGACCCTCATTTGAAGGGTCGAGATATATTACTAATCCGCCTCTTTTATGTTCCTTTCTATACCCTAACTGAATCTTTAGAGTCAGGACAAGTTAGGGAGGATCGGGTTAGTGGATCGGGCCTAATAAACCCACTGATTTTTACAAATTATAATTTGGTATCCAAATTTATTTTTTCTTACAATTTAGTATCTAAATTTTATTTCTTACAAATAAGATCATAAATTTGATGGTGAAATTATGTTTTGGTACCCAGTTTTTTTTTTTACAAATTATTACTTAAACTTTTAAAACTTTACAAATAGGTCCAATGTGTTGGTATGAGAAATTTCATATCACTAGTTGTTGCTAAATGTCACAGGGTCTCCATTTTTCTTATTTAATTAGTACTTGAAAATTATGTCGACGCCACCTCAGCATCGGATGCTAACTCACAAACGAAGAAAATGTTTGACCGTTGAATTTGACGGTCAATCCAAGGTTCGAGATAAATCTATTCATTTCTTTCAAAATATAGCTACAACTGTAATATTTAATATTCATGAAAAAATATTATTTATGTCAAACTTCGTACCAAACAAGATATTATCCCTTACTACAAATAAAAAAAGGGGACAAGAAAGAACCCCATCATGAGATGGATGATTGTCATTTTGGTATATGTAGTAGATGGATGGACGTGTACTTGAAGAGAAGGAATGAGATGTGTGTATGGGTGGTCGATATCGATGGGTTTTAGTGTAGTACGTACATTTCCATCATTCATAATTCCTTTTGGTTTCTTGACCAACCAACATTTGTGTAGGCAGCTAATTAAGACCGCACAATTGACAGTTGGATCCCAACCCAATATATGCACACAAATTAAAACAACACCACCCAACATTTCTTCCTGAGGGACATAAATAATAAATTAGACCCACTCTATTTCTTTCTCACATGTAAATTTTGTATCTTTTTTTAAATTAAGAACATGCAAAAGTCTAAAACTAAAATTCAGAGGATTTTTTTACTATGATTAGTTCGTCCACTAACTCTCTCGTAAGTATTTCTGTAGTGTTTGATATACCGATTTTTATATTTTCATTATTTTTAATTCAAGTTTAATAATTAATTTAATTTTATATTTTATGAATCGAGAATAATTTTAAAATCATAATTCAAGTAACATTGATTCCAATATTTCATATTGAATTGTAGTATTGAATGTATAGAAACGATTTAGAATACTTAACGTAGTATTAATTTTTAAATGAAGTTCCGACCAAGGAGTCGTACACCAAACTAATATATAAGTAGGAACAATTTTGTTTTAAAAATTTTAAGGAAACCCCCAAAAGTAAGTTGTATACCACTCTCTTGTGTCTTGTCTTATATAAATTAAAGTTGAAAAACTCATTAGGAAAAGCCGAGAATCACGTTTTGCTAAAGCTAGAAGAGATTTTCAAACTATGTATTATATAACATTATTAATTTACAAAGGAAACATATATGATTTTGATTCTGCGCACTCACCTTTTTTGGTGTATGATATGTACCCGCATCATAATCGTTATATTGAGAAGATGATCCATGTTAAAACGATGTTAATCATTAAAACGATGTTAATCATCATTTGTGACATGATTGATAAAAAAACACATGAATTTGTAAAACAATCATTCAAGATTTAATTTTGATTTGATGAATTTAGGGTTTAGCGATTTAGGACTAGGGTTTACAATTTGCTATTTAGAGTTAGGATTCATAATTAAATGTGCATTGATTAGTTGGGATCCAATGTTATATAATCATATTAGACTAATGGTACCAATTAAAACTCAAAATTCGATGTCTTAAAACTAGTTTTAAAGTTGGATGCATAGTATGCACTCATTTTGTGAGGGCATGCACCATATATAAGTCACAATATATATGGTGGCTTCTATAAATTTAGAGTATCGCATACCCTTAGTAAAAAAAATGTTATCTAGACATTGAATTCCTGATTATCTAAATCATAAACCTCAAACCCTAAAATGGTGCATGCAGTTTATTGCATGTATTACGATTGAATCATGAAGTTAATTATTTTTTTCTGATTAAATAGATCTTAATGTATAAGATTTAGAGAACTAAGATCAAATTTTAATAATTGAGGAATAGAGTATAGTATCATGTCCCCAAGTCCGGTCAATTCAAGGTCTAAATAGTATTTTCTTACTTTAAGTATGTGAATGCGATACCCCATATGTATTCTATGTATGATAGAACTCCTCATAGGGGTGGGCAATGGGTGGGTTGTGTGAGTTTTGGTCTTAAACTGACCCACTTGTTTACTAACGAATTGGTACAATTGCGAACCGCAATCCACTCACACATTACTTCGGATTGGGTTTGGTGGGTGATGGATGGGTGCAGTTGGGTCCCGCAAACGCAATTCTTCAATGTGTAAATAGGCAATTTGACTAATATTTATAATCAATTACTCGCAAATTAGTAAGACTGCATCAATTTATACACTTCTCCCAATTGGTTACCTATGGAGATCTCTAGCACTTGTATAAAAAATTTCCTTAGTTCATCAACCAAATTATGTAGAGAACATTTTTCACTTAGATACCATTAATAATTTATAGTTTGCATCTCAAATATAAGGAAAATTATATACACAACATAGTGAGCAATCGTAGTAGCACAAAAATATTCCTAATTTTTCAACTTTAAAAGTCGATGGCCAGTGGGCAGTGTGTAATGCGGTTAAGAAATACGGTAACTATTTGTTAGTATAAATAAGAAACAACTATTTTCATGTAAAGACGAGGTGTGAGTCATTCGGGTGAACCGCAACCAACCCACCACCCAGCCGATGAGTGCAGGTAGGAGATTTATTGATCCACAATCCAACCACATCAATCACCCGTCCTCTGCAAGTTGGATTATTTGCGAGTGGACGATGTCAAATCACGGATTACCCATCTGCATGCCCACTGTCAAAACATAAGCGTGCAATCGATAATCCAAACCAACACAAAACGAACACAAATTTAACGTGGTTCACTAACACAATGTGTGCTAGCTAATCCATGGGCAGGGGAGAACAAATTTCACTGATTTGAGGAGAGTACAGGTTACAAATCAAATTCCAAACGGACAAACCAAACAAACTAACCCGACTGACCTTACTACATATTAGGGTGGTGAAGAGTATTTATAGAACTCTTCTCCTAATCCCAAACAGAAAACCAAACACCTTTTCCAAACATACAAAGAAAATGGCAAAACAAAGCCCAAATCCAAACAAAATAGGCCCAAAACACCAAACACACCCAAATCAAATTCAAGCCATATCCTAACAATCTCCACCTTGACTTGAATTCTCTGTCAAATACCAAATGTACCATATGCAACCAAAGTTTCCAGATGTACCCAGACGCAACCAAAGTTGCCAGATGTACCCAGATGCGATACATATCGCCAAATTTACCCAGATGCGATCGAAACCGCCAAACTCAAATGTGATGCAAATCGCCAAACTCAGATGCAATCAAAATTGGAAGACGTACCAAACTCCTCCAAATCAGTTGTACTAGAATCTCCTCTGCCTCCAAATGCCCCTAAGGGCGGTCAACAACTCAAACCATTCGGCAAGTCCAACCCATGCTGAGACTTGCCATTAAAACCAGCTTGGTGCACTTATCACCAACAGAACCTTGTAGATTATACAAGGCACCCTGTTTGACACCTTTCAAAATCACCTTAGAATCTTTGTAGACAGACAACACTCCACCTTCACCTTTGAAACTGAACTCCTTATCGTCGAGTAGACTCAGAGATATCAGATTCTCAGTCATCTCTAGAATATGTCTAACATTGTTCAAGGTGCAAACAGAACCATCATGAGTCCTCATCCAGACAGAGCCACTTTCAACAATCTTACAGATAGCACCATTGGCCATAGAAACATGTCCTCCATATATCTGCTCATAAGTTGAAAAACACTCCCTGCTTGGACACATATGATAATCAGCTACAGTATCCAAATACCACACATCCTGATGATGTACCTGTTCATTCGACTAAGGCTAAACCATCTTCAGAATCAGAGTTAGTTTCTTCCGCCACAACAACAGATGATTCCTTCTTCTCCTGATATTTCTTTAATTTAGGACAATCGAATTTCCAAGGTCCTTTCTCCTTACAGTAATGACAGATATCACCCTTCAAACCAACAGAATTCGAATTTATATTCGCCTTCCTACTACCAGATTGTTGTCTCCTACTTCCCGTAGCAGCCAACCCAGATACCTGATTTTCCGAACCTGAACCAGACGCCTTATGTCGCACCTCTCTAGTATGTAGAGCAGATCTGACATCTTCTAGAGTCAAACTATCTTTTCCAGCAATAGAAGAATCCACAAAATTCTCATATGACTGTGGCAAAGATACCAACAGAATTAAGGCAGCATCCTCACCATCTACTTTAACATCAATATTCCGCAGATCTAACAAGATAGTATTGAGTTGATCTAGATGATTCCTGAGAGGCGTACCTTCCTCCATACGCAAACTGAACACACGTTGCTTCATATGCAACTTGTTGGTCAAAGACTTTGTCATGTATAGACTTTCAAGCTTCAACCACAAACCCGCGGCAGTCTTCTCAATAGCAACCTCAGTGATGATGTCATCAGCCAAACAAAGCAAGATTGTAGAGTGAGCTTTCTCCTCCAAAGTAATCCACTCTTCTTCATCTATGCTTTTTTTCTTCGATTTTTCAGACAACGGAGCCCACAAACCCTGTTGTTTCAACAGTGCTTGCATCTTGATCTGCCACAATCTGAAACTATTTATTCCAGTAAACTTCTCAATCTTCATATTGATAGCAGCCATTCTTACTATCAAACAAACTCCAACCAAACTCCACAAAGAAAAATTTCAGTCCAGCACCAAATTCCCAAAACCGCAACCAGGCTCTGATACCACTTGTCGAAATTGGGCCGCTCAATTAGTAAGATACTGTCCGCTTTGGGCCAAGCCCGCACGGTTTTACTTTTGGGTGTCCTCCCCTAAAGGCCTCGTACTAATGAGCTTGGTGGACACTAATATACAAGGGTTCCTTCCCTTGTATTTCAGATGTGGTACTTGGATTGTACCCTAACAATCCTCCCCTCAAGACAAGGACCACGAACTTCGTGTCCTCACCTCAGCGATTATCTTGATCTGCCAGACGCCTTGTATCGATGGGCCTCTCGGTACAAGGACTTTACCAGACGCAGACCTTCCTTGATCCGCCAAGCCCAAACGTGGATCTCTCCAGGATCCACCAAACGCAGAACTCTCATTGATCCGCCAAACAGATGCGAATCGCCTTTGAACCGCCAGACAAACGCAAATCTCAAATCCCGAGGTCACCGATTGAGGGTCCACCAAACTGACGTCCACCGCCTCGAACAGAACCAGGCTCTGATACCACTTGTTGAAACAGAAGCGTGCAATCGATAATCCAAACCAACACAAAACGAACACAAATTTAACGTGGTTCACTAACACAATGTGTGCTAGCTAATCCACGGGCAGGGGAGAACAAATTTCACTGATTTGAGGAGAGTACAGGTTACAAACCAAATTCCAAACGGGCAAACCAAACAAACTAACCCGACTGACCTTACTACAGATTAGGGTGGTGAAGAGTATTTATAGAACTCTTCTCCTAATCCCAAACAGAAAATCAAATATCTTTTGCAAACATACAAGGAAAATGGCAAAACAAAGCCCAAACCCAAACAAAATAGGCTCAAAACACCAAACAAATCTAAATCAAATTCAAATCATATCCTAACACCCACCTAACTCCTCATATATACATATCTTTAGCTAGAGTGACTTCAAAGGACTTCAAATATCGTCAATCCTCGGCATCTCGGAGGAGCTGATTGTGCATTATAAATATTGCTATGCCAAAAGGATCTATTTCCTTCCTTAAAACTTATGTTTTCTCCAGTGTTCTCCACTTTATACTTGTAAATGCGATAAATTTATAAAAGTGAAGGGGGGAATATAATAAAAGCACTCGTGAGCATACAAGTTTGAAGAGGATGTTTTAGTAAAGTTTTTGTCTTATTTCACAGCTTTTTAATCTAAAGAATTGCTCATGGAATGATATCTTTCTCAAAAGACGAAGAGAAAGAGCCAAAGTTAATTAAAGGAAGATTTGCTTGCTGTATTAAGGTAAAGTTTACATTTATAGTCGTTGATTTAATTATGATTGTAAGTGAATAATGTAATCACTCTATGGTATATAGTTGTTTATTTGCTGTAATCACTCCATTGTTCATATACTCCGATGGGGAGAAATGTAGGGGTAAAATGTCGGAAAATGGAGCTAGGCTAGCAAATGTGAGAAGCTAAGCTAGCTAGATTGCCAAAGGCTTGAAATACTCATCTACACTTGCACTTTCTAACTGTGCAACAAACCCTTCTCAGCTCAAAAGTCAAATCTAATGTTAGGTCATGGCCCTGTGACAAGATATAAGGGAAGGATTGCCTAATGCACGAGAAGATCGAAGAATTCGGGAAACACTCGAATAATTCATCTCTAAATAAAATGGATAACGGAAGAGATCGTCAACAATGATAACTTTCGCACTCTGCCATAAACGACTCACTCATACATGTACCGAATACTCACACGGAGCAATTCAAAGCCCAGAGTTCCTATGAACTCATCGGTGGAGCTTGAGGTACATACAAAATTAAAGAATCTATGAACAAAACTCAGAGGATATTGCTTCCTTTCTTCTTTCTCATGGTCCCTCTTCTTCCCTCCCTCTCTCTCCTCTCCTTCATTCTGTTTCTTTCTGCATTGCTTGTCTGCTTGTCTTTCTTCTTTCCCATAACTGCTTTCTTTCTTTCTTCTTTCTGGTTTTTCTTTTGGAAGAAGCATAAACAAGTATGATTTCACCTTCCCTGCTGCTACTGCTAGAGAACCTGATTCTTCTTCACAAGGACTCAACCAAAATTCTACCCTCTTTACTTGCCATGAAACTTGAAGGAAAAAAGAAATGGTACAGGCTTTCCTTTTTTTTCATTTTGCATTGGGGAGGGTGGAGATTTTCATATTAGATATTTTTTTGTAGATATTATATGTAATGAGATCATAAAAATTAATCAAATGTTCGATTTATATAATAAACTAATTTTTTTTTATACTAAAGAGTGCATGTCATTCCATTCAATGTGGCCTGCCCAAAGTGAACTCCAAGTTTGGCCTCTTGGGGCTTCTTGACCCTGAAAGCTGGCTTGATGAACAACTTGCTTCTGACCTTCTCTCATAGCTCATACACTTTGCATCCATCTCCTTCTGCATCCACGAAAAATCAAAGGAACCCATCAACATTTATGAGGGCGCAAAAAATTCCAAAATTTTAACATGATTAGCTAAAAGAAACCAAAACCCAGAAGAAAAAAAAAAAAAAAACTAACTTGAATAAGTTCATATCAATTTTTTACTGAGAGCAGAGATGGAAAACCTATGAGCTCAATCAGTGCACTCGATGTTAATTAACTCCAACCTCTTTTGAGGTAGAATGTCCTAGACATGAAGTATAACTTCTTCTATCCATCTCCCTGGAGCTAATTACAAATTTTGATTCTAGCACTCTTCCTCAATTTGACTTTTTTTCTTCTTCTTACAAGATCATTTTTATTTCAAACTGAGAAATGTACGAAGTGGGTGAAACCCCAAAGGAAAGACAATGTACAAACTCAACCTAAAAAGAAAGAAAGCCCAACAAACCCAATCATTGTTAAACACTACAAACCTCAATTTGACTTGTTTCTTCCCCTTTGGTTACTAATGTACAATTTGATCATCCAGACAAATGGGCTTCAAAACTCAAGGCTGGCTAGCTAACTGAAGTTTTGTTTTTGTGAGTTAAGGCTACTAACTTAGCTAACCTAATGGTGGGCAAACCCTTTAAAAAAATGTTATTCTCTCTACTAGGTGCATTTTGCAAGAAAGCCCTCTCCCCCCTTTGCCTATGGGCTATATCCATTTCAAAATTACAAAAAGTAAGTCTCCCTCTCAAATATTTCACCACCTAAAAAAACCAGCTTTTGAAAGGCTTTTTTTCTCTCTTGTAGTTGTTGTACTAAGCCAATGGCTGAAAGAAAAAAGGAAGGTAAAAGGAAAGGAAAGAAAAGAAAAGGGAAATAAAGCAGTTGTGTGTGTATGCCTTTGCTTTTTAAATTTGGTCACTTATTCCCACATAAAAGTAAAATGACACCATACATATATAGAAGGATGTATATATATGTCAATATTCCATATGGTACCTCAAGAGATGGCAAACTTCCAGGGGAGTCCTTTGTCTTCCCATGCAACCAAGCTTCCCTGCTTCACAAATCCAACAGAATTGAAGGGAAGAAGGTATATTATTCTCATCACTGAGCAGCAATGCATGCATGCAGAAAGCTAGCAAAGAGTTGTGAAAGAATGAAGGAAAAAAGGAAAAGGGAAACAACCCATCATTGCTTTCTCTCTTTATCATATCACCCTCCAATTTGGTTTCTCCTTTTACTCACAAATCTCTCTCTCTCTCTCTATCTCTCTAGTTGCTGAATCAATATTTTTAGGGGTAATTGAGAAATATCATATCCAACCCAACCATGTGATATCCACAAGGAGCAGCAAAAGAGAAGGAAAGGGAAAGGGAAATATCACAAAGGAAGTTTTTATTCAAAGGGCATATAGCTTTGGCACCAAGCTAGCTACCCATCAAATGAAACCCCATCTACACGGTTTAGCTTTGACACTAAGTTATCTAATTGGAGGGTCCCTTTTCTTTCTCCTTCCCTTTGGTTTTAATTTTCTCTGAGCCCACGAAATCCAGAGGAAAGAGATATATCTCCAAATTTTTTAAGGTGGATTTTAACCCCCCTTTTTCCATGCATTGGAATGGGAGGAGATGTGTTTTCTTCTTCCTTGGCTTTTTGTTCAAAAAAATCTACCTTTCCACTCCTCACCCACTACCAAGCTAAACCCAACAAGATGATCAGTCGATCCTATGCTTGAATAATTACCCCATCATAGCTAGGGATGATCCTCTCAATCTTATTGGGAATGCTCACACACATACAAACAAAACCCATTTCTATCAATGTGGCATTGGTATATATGGAGTCAATTACATGAATGGTACCTGAACTTTGGTGCAACTAACAAATCACTTAGCTAACTTTGATCTTCCATACAATTTTATCCCAATAGTCAATTCCTCCATTTTCGTCAAGTACTTTATGTACGTCAACTCGCCTAAACTCTATAGTAAAAAATGTTAGATAAATTATCTGGCTATTGAATAGGGGGAGGAAGAGACTATGATAGTTTGTTTCATGTAATACGGTTGAAGTCGGGTTAAGTATACTTGACATGATAATATGAAAATTCCAGTTAATTGTGGTCTACATGGTCGTTCTAATATGACATGTAATATAGATATTTTGGATATGAAAAACGATAAAGATGTATAGAGAGATTATGACGTTGAATATGTCGAATTACGGGGTCAAGCTTGTTAAAATTCAAAATTAAGAGATCAATTCCCTGATGCTTCTAAATCTTGATGGTCATTGATGTAATTTGGTCCTTCACGAATGCATACAAAAGCAAAGCTTTAGTACTTCCTTTGATTTGATTCTTCCTTCCTTCCTTTTAACAGAAGATGCATTTCCATGCAACTCTGAAAAAGAGAGATAGATAGGGGAGGGGGAGGAAGAGGTTTATGCCTTTGTGTTTTTGCTGTATTTTACTTTATTCATCTCTAACATGCACATGCAACACAGAAGTATGGCTAAGTCTTTTTTATTTCTTTGGGTGGGCTTTCACTTTAGCTTTGTTTCCTTTCTTTTTTGGAAGTTAGGGACAAAAGTTAATGGACAAAAGTGTTCATTTTCAAAAGAGAAACTGGAGGAATATAGAGAAGAAGTATATTAACAAGAGAATTTTCCTTTTCACAAAGATATGATATGCCAAAAATAAAAACCCACCCATATCTTCCTTTTGTCCTCTCAACATTCTTTGTTGGAGTTCTCATTCCTCATCAATCTCCACATTCAAATCAGCCTAGGATGATGAAACTCCCCCCTTTTCCCCCAAAAAGAAAACCAAAAACAAAAACTGATGTTGGGTAGAGAAAACTAAAGCCACAAATTAACTAATTATTCAGCAACAACTTCACTTATTGGAATCTTTATTGATTTTATATTATTGGAGACGTTTATTTTTATTTTATTTTTTAGTATGGTATTAGAGTTTTTATAAACCGGAAACTTTTGTATTCGAACTATGGCACCCCTAATATTGATACGTTGATGCACATCATAATGTATGGTGGGTCTTTACCGACTTTAAGATTAATGCTCTTCTGTATTGCTTAAGAAATTGTGTAAAATCCGTTGGTGAAATCTTATACCATTTCAAGTTATTGGAATAAACTAGATTTTTGGACTAGACTTCTAAAAGTCTAAGAACTTCATTTTGATCATTGCTTTTGTTGTTGTTATTATGCTTTCCATCTTATTTAGCTTAGTATGTATACCTAAAATCAAATGCAATGCACCATAACACATATACAAATAATTTGCATGTATTATTCATAAAAAAAAAGTTGTATCTATATGTATGTATCCAATGCATTGTTCTTCACTAGTCCACTAAAGTAGACGTAGGAAGAAAAAAGAATAAGGGGCAACTGACCTAGAAGAATTGCTCCAAAGCGCTTGGTGATGATAGTCCTTCTCGTGCTGGTGCCCGACAACATTACTAGCGCCGCCGCCGCTGCCGCCTGTTCTTCCCGGCTGCTGCATCATCGACATTACTTCCGGTGGTGGTCGCCGCGAAGACGACGAGTTCTGATGTATTTCCAGCATCAAATCTTCTGAAGTATTGTCCCCGGAAGACCCGTTGTCAAGCACATCCGATTGCCCTGCATTATTATATTAACAATTAAAATTAAAGACCCAATTAGTTGATAATTACTGTAATTAGTGTTGAAATGGTGAGGCTTTGATCGTTAACCAACCTGACGTGGCAGCTGCTCTGTCAGTGGTCTTCACTGTCCGATACATCTGCCACGAATCAACAAATTTACCTCCATTATTTTATCAATCAACAAACGAGATAGAGAAACAAAGAGAATTTAATTTTACCCGCATTGTTTATAACAAGGTAAAAAAACCCTCATAATACGCTAACCTTATCGTACGCTCGCTCTAGTCGTTACTAGTCCAATCCATTGAGGTTAAAAAAAGTGGTGTACAACATTAGTTGGTGTTTGCGAACAATGACAACAAGAAAAAAATTGTGTCACGGGGATCAAGTGAAAGGGGAAGGGAATTGGGTTTCCTCGAAATGGTGAGACCATGAGAGTGAAAGTTAATGAATTAAGAAGTGAAAGTAGAGAAAGAAAGCAAATGGATGGCAAACTGCAGAATGCTGTTATTAATGGAAATCTTAGCATAAATGCCTGCCTGAAGCAAACTCTCTTCCCACCACTTGGTTGCATGCATGAATGTGTGTATATGAATGGGATAGATGGTGAATAGAGAGAAGGAAGATAACTGCATCATGGGTTCTGACCAGAGATAAAAAAAAAAAAAAACAGATGCTATGAAAAAGGAAACTGTAAAAAAATATGAAGAGGTGGTGGGTTGAAAACCAAACCATGGTTAAAGAGAGAGGAGAGTTGTCTCTGGTTAAAGAGAGAGAAGAGGAGAAGGATATATGATTGAGAAATGATGGTGTTTTTTGTACTTTTGGTTTTGGGTTTTCAATGCCTATTCCTTCCCACAGCTTTTTCCCCCTCTCACTCACTCCCATCTGTGTAAGAGAAAGAGAAAGAAACCCTTCTTCCCAAACCCAATTCAGGTGAGAGATATTGTTCAAAAAAATAAATTATAAATTAAACAGTAGATTGTCTTCCTATGACATAATGACAATGTGTTGTAAGATTGTATTGTCTTGGCCTGGCTATGACTTGTTGCAATATTATAATATTAGTATATATAGAGATGGGCAAAAAAAAAAAGCAGAATTTTGACTTGTTTATACAATTATTTGAGAATTTTTTCCATTGGGTGGGTTTGTCTTACTTGATTATTTCTGAAATCGATGACTCTCCTCTATCTCTTCCTATTCCTATTCCCTTCTCTGTCCTTCTTCTCTGTGCATGTCTCAGTTTAGTGACTTCACTTTTCATTTCAAGGTTTCTTTTCGTTAAACAAATGGGAGAGAGACTGAGAGAGAGAGAGAGAGAGAGCAGGCAAGGAAGGAAGACTTTGGGGTTCAATCTCCAAAGCAGAAATGGTGTAAGAAAGAGAAGAGGAAGAAGAAGAAGAAGGAAGGTAGCAGCAGCATGGTCAGATCTAGTGGCAAAAGAAGAGCTAAAGGAAGGAAGGGATTGTTTGTTAGCTTGCTTGTTTAGAGAACAACCTTCTTCCTACTAATAACAATAAAAGAAGTCACTTATTCACTTCACTCACTCTGCTGCCTGCAGAGCAAGAAGAAGGAAGGAAGAAGAAGAAAAGAAAATAATAAAACCAAAGGAGAAGCCTTGGAATTTGTGATCTTTTTCATTTAAACCCTTCCTTCTTCCCACCTAGCTAGCCAGCTCTCTCCATTTACAATCTCCAAATTATTCCCCCCTTTTCCATTATGGCTAGGTGTATTATACACTACCAGCACAATCTTCTCCTTCTTCTTCCCAATATAATATAATATTATTATTAATCTGTTAATTAAAACCTTGAGTACTTGTAGCCTACCTCTACTACATACTAACACCAAAAAAAAAAACACAGACCCAATGTGGTGATGATAATAATGATAAGCAGCAGTTTGGTTAATTATTTAATTAATTAAGTTACCTGCAAATGGGATTTAACATGAGCCAAGGTGAGGTCTTTGACATCCATGAGCTCCAACACCGATTTGGGCGTCGCCCCTTTCATTTTCCAGATAGTGGGTATTAATCAACCGATTAAAAAGTGGAGAAAAAACGATTAAAGGGAAGAGCTTTCAGTAGCTAGCTAGCTAGCTAGTAGAACTCACTCTCGTGGCCGCCGAGGAGCTCGACGGCGTGGACGAAGCGGGCGTGGAGGGTGGTGGTCCACCGCATCCGGGGAGCCCTCATGCTCCTCTTCGCCGGGAACCGCGACATGAACCTCGATCTCATCATCATCCCCGCCGCCCCTCCCCCTCCTCCTCCGCCGCCGCCGCCAGCAGCAGCTGGGAGAATGTTGTTATTGCTACTATTATCTAGATGATGATGATGATGAGGCTGGTGAATCGGAGGTGGGTTTTGGTGGTAGACTGGGATCCCGCGAATCGGCCTCAAGAAACCCAGCTCCTGGCTCAGCTGCTGCTGCTGGAAGCTGATTGGGTACTGGTTGTGGTTGTGGTTTGGATTTTGATACGGTTGCTGTTGCGGCTGCTGGTGGTGGTGGTGGTAGAAAGTTGAAGGGTACTGATGTTGCTGGAAGCTAGCTCCGTTGGCGTTTCCATGGTGGTGGTGGTTGTTGGAATCGGAGAGGAGGCGGGGATTGGAGAGGGAGAGGTCGAAGGCGGTGTTGGAGGTGGTGGTGGTGGGGTTTCTGGAGTCGAGGGCTCGCTTCCAGAACCCTCCCAAATCGGCGGCGGCATCGTCGTCGGCTGCCGGCCGGCGAGGCCAGGTGGAGGAGGGTTTGGCGTTGGGAGGGCTGATTTGGAGGGACAAATCGGGCTGTGCTGGGAACAGCTCCATCGATCTGTCTTTTCCTATGCTTCTTCTTCTTCTTCTTCTGGTGATTGTGGTCTCTAGCTAAGCTAGTTGGTAGCAAAAAGCTAAATCAAAACCTTCCCTTGTTGTTGTTCTTGTTCTTCTTTTTGGTGGGGTGGATGGAGATGGAGGAAGCTGGGGAGGATGAATAGAGAGAGGGTAGGGAGGAGAGAAGGGGAGAAATGACAAGGGTATAATGAAGTAGTGATGAATGGTTGTTTCCTTTGTGTGAAGTATATGTGAGAAAATGACACTACTTGAGGGAGATGGATAGAGAGAGAGAGATTGCTCTATAGCTAGCAAAAGAGATAGAGAGATAGAATAATAATTATTATTATGATCATACTAATATGAATGAGGAGAATGAGAAGGAAGAGGGTTTTTCTTTTGATTTTGTTTTTTAGAAAAAAAAAATTAAATGTGGGTTTTTAGTTTTAAAAGCAAGGGTACGTTTGGGAAGAGAGGACATATGGAGGGTAGGGTCCTATCTTAGGGTAAGAAAAAGGGGGGAAGAAAGAAGAGTAAAAAGGGTAAATAAGTTTGGGGACTTGGGTTCCTCTTTTTACCATTCTCTTTTAAAACTTTATATTTATCCTTTTCCAACTTTCTTTTTTACTCTTCTTGAAAGAGAGCAAAAGGAAGAAAAGAATTTCTTTTTTTTTTTCTCCTCTTGAGACTTTCTTTATTAACTTTCTATAACGTGTGCATTTGACCCTCTCATCAACAAATTCAACCTTGCCTAGCACTTTAGGGCTTTGGAATTCATGGACAACACATCTAGCTAGGTATCCCTCCATGCACACAACTTTTTTCTTCCAAACTTTTTTCTTCCCTCATTGTAATGTCTAAATGTAGGACATTGTTCCCTTTAGTGAATGAATAATCAACCCTAAACAAAAAAAAAAGTTTCCAAGTAAAGTTGATTTAATTACTCTTACACTTTCAAGCATTGTTACTGAAATAATTGTACTTCAACAAAAGACATATATTTTGACTTGTGTATATGAGTTATGCATGATCATCAATGTGTTGAAATTTTAGGAACAATATAACTCACAATATGAAATATGGTGCATAGAACCAATTAAATTGCCCTTTAGTAACTAGCATTCTTCCTAATGTTGATTAGTGCATAATCCATGTCAACAACACTTTAATCTCCATCCTCAAATTTCATAATCTAGCAACTTAAGCAATGTGTTCTTGGAAAATTCTTACAATTTAAATTTTGGTCACTTAAAATTGGTTAGATTTCATCTTCACACCAATCGATTTCCTAGTCACCTATGATGCTTATACAGATACTAGCTAGCTAGTGATTATGAAAATTTTAAATATTTTTCATATGCCTAGACACTTTAGCCAAGTTGAAGCAAATGTGTACCACTATGGTCAATGAATCAACCATATAGTGGCAGTTGATTTAAAACACACGGTTTGGTCAACACCCATCTCAGGTTTCGATATTCTTCAAAATATCCACAATGAGATTTCAACCAGAAATCTCCTTCTCCAAAGCTATTGAAGGGTTCTAAACTCGTTTGGTCAATACCCATCACATGTCATGATTGTCCGCCTGCAGCAGAGTTCTCTAAATAGGTCGTGGTTCTGTAACTATTTTGCACAATTAGTCGCCTATGAATTCAAGGAAATGAAAGATCACAAGTTCACAACCCAGCTAGCTAGGGCTTTAACTTTGTCTTGGTAAAAAAGCTGTTTAGTTACATATACACTTTGATTCAATTCAATGCATGAAAACCCTAGGCTAGATATCAAGGTAATTATTGCATTCTCTCTTTTCTTGATCATCATAATTACAACATGTACGTACTAATCATCGATCATCGCTACTTTTCCCCCCTTCTGTCTTTCTTTCTCTGCTCATCTTTTTTTTTTGCTTTCCAATGGGAGATGCCAATCCAATTAAATGAGGTCCAGGCTGAATGGCGATTGAATTGTAAAGGGCAGAGAGAGTGGGCAGTTACGTTGGTCAATCCACACACAGTCAAGAGAGAATTGAAAACTACCACCATTTCCATTGAATGCAAATCGAGAAGGTGGGGTAAAACTGTAAAGTCGTCGTGTGAGCAGTAAATAATGGAATCAAGGGATGAGGTAAAGCAAAGAAGGACATTCTGATCACCGCCCACACAATATAATGGTTGTTGGCCTTGTTGGTGTGTTCCAGGGCAGACAACAAAAGGTTAAAAAGTTTGGACTAAAATGCTATGCTTATGTAAAAAAATCCCTACCTTCTTCTTCTTCCATCTCTTTTCGTAGCTGCAAAGGACATTTTGGCTTTGCATTTATTGCTCCCCCACCTCTCTCTCTTTCTTTCTTGTACGTTATTTTCAGAAGATCGATATAAGATTCGTTTTGAAGATGCGTAATTTATGAATAATGATTTTGCTATCTTATTTATAAGTTCGTGAAATGAAATTTCGTGTAGGTTGTTTACCAAAATTTATGTTGAGGTCTAAAATGCAAACCGCACCTTCGATCATTTTCCCTTTGATGAGATCAAGCCATGGAACAAAATAATATAAGCTCATTTCCTCAAACTTTGGCAGAGGCTAGAGATCGAAGTGGGAGGTTGGGATGTTATTGTAGTCAAATTTCTCTTAAATCATTTGCAAATACGATTGTCAATGTTCTCTGACTAAATCTTTGTACTATTTCTTCAATACATGGATGGATGGCCTCTTGCATGTAATGTAACATTCAATACTTGAACATTTCTTCTCTCAAACCCACATCTAGGTAAAGCTTAAATGCAAAGGTTCTTACTCGTTATTGACACTTTAAGTCCTTGTACCATGTACTTTTAACAAATAAGTATTTGTGTTAATACATATTTTACAAACATATCGTATACTATCATGTTTCTTCATCTAGTATATAAATTCAAAATCTCATTCAAACTAGTACTTACAGATAAGATCGACTCATCTCATGGTTAGGGTTTTGGATGACTCACAAAAACACCTTTGTCATAAGTTCATCTTTTCCTCCTCAAATTAACTGTTAAATTTGACTGTCCTCGTACCGTTATTAATCAATAGGTTATATGATCCAAATCGAACTGAAATTTTGGATTTCCAATACATGTGACTATCTTCTTTTTTTTTCTTCAAGTTGAGACCATAATTAACCAAGTAGAGAAATACATACAACTATGATGCATCAATAACGTGTTCTTGTTAAGCACTCATCAACCATGCTAATAACGAATTTGGATATAATGTTTTTAAAATCAAGATTGTTGCAATAACTCAAAGATGATCTTTTTTCTTGCAATGGATGTACTATCTATATACTGATATACAAGCGGCCCATTCCCTGTAATGGGTATGGTTTGGGCCGGCTGGATCTCCATGACTCCTTTGCTTTCCCAAGCATTAGAACAGGTAACTGATAGTAACATCACTTTCCTTTCAATCATACTGAAATTATTGCTTTACAGAAATTTCCCGACTAGAAAGAAAGAAATGGGGAAAACAGACAAACAGAAAGACTTTATGTGCATTTTGGTCACTAAATCACTTTCATACCACAGGCCTGAAAGAAAGTGCCACTTTGGTGTTAAATCAAGAAATGCGCACATATATTTGTATGTACACACATTTTTGTAGCTCTTTGGTGGAGATTAGGAATATGGGCTTTTCTCCACTTAGGTTGCGTATCTGCAACCTCCAATCCATATGTATATGACGACGTCTTTCCTTTTCTCATCGATTTAGCCTTTGCAGAATTATCTTTTACCATATATTATCTTTATTTTCATATCAATCAATCGAAATACTAAGTATACTTAGGGTTTTGTACAGACTAGTCATTCCTGATTTGTCCTTGAATCATTTGTTAATATATATGAGGTAATCAAGAAATAGAGGACCTTCTTTGGTCATCCATAAAAGATTATAAGATCTTGTTAAATCGGTATTTCTCAATAACTCAAATTATTAGAATCTCAAACTCTCATGTAATCACCATATAAATGTAGCACATAACATGTTTTGGGACCATATACATTAATATTATTTAGTCAATTGCAAATCGTACATGACGCTCAGTATGCAATTAACAAAGAGATTTGCATCAATGGAATGGACGACTGCAATCATGCCCGCCAATTGGAATTTCAAATAAATTGTATTCATGTAGTTCCAATGAAATCACTATGGGTATGACTGCAAAAATATTGAGGTGACCGTAGACACCATGTGTAAACTAGAAGTCACCATAGATATATACATATATGGTGGCTTACTCTGGGAAAATATAGGCTTGCATACTCAAAATCGAACAATTCAAGATCTAGATAGGATTTTCTTAGTCAAGGTATGTGGCATCCTAGATTTTCTCGAGGTGAGATAGAAGCTACCATAAGTACATAAATACATATACATGGTTTTGTCTTCGGCGCACTGACTTTATTTGGTGCCTTCGGTGCATTCTTCTCATAATCGTCATTCTAAACGGGCGATTCATGTTAAAATGATGTCAATCATCACTTGTGATATGATGATCAAGAAAGTGCATGAATTAGCACAAGCATCATTCAAGATTTACTTTGATATGTAGGATTTAGTGTTTAGGAATTTAAGATTAGGGTTTATGGTTTACAATTTAGAGTTTAGGGTTAGGGTTCAAATTTTAGGGCTTATGGTAATGTATTGTTTAGTTGTGACCATATATTATATAATCATATCAAAATAATAGTACCAATTAAAATTTTAAATTCGATGTCATAAAATTTGGGTGCATTCTCTGCACTCTTTTTTTTTAGCGCACCGAAGAAGCCACTAATATATGTGTGTGTGTGGTATTTTGCATATGTTGTGTTTTGAAGCAAAATTATGTACGATTTGAGATGTGATATTTGTGAGTTATTTCATCTAATTATCTCAATGTCATTTCAACCGGCTCATTTTTTAACCAATTGAATAACTCAATAAAAATTATCATATCTCATCCTTTTTCCA